GTGCCAGGCTTTATCTCCCTAATTCTCACCACATTATTGCTCTCATTTTACAGTGGAGGAGGCTGAACTCAGGTTAGAACTCAGGCTCTGGTGCTATACTGGCTTCAAAACAACATTCGAGAACCTTCTCTGACCCCAGGAATCTGGGACTTTCTGAAGCTTTCCACTGGGGTGTCATTAATTATTTCCAGTCGTTTCCTGTGCCCTCGCTTGTCTCTCTACTAGACTTGGCTTCGTTTAAGGCCTGGCTTTATTTTGTACTTTTCTCTATGGAAGCCCTCACGCCTGTGCATTTGAATCAGGTCTTTTCTGCTTGTGCTCCTTGAGTGAGACCCTGTGTGGCCGGCGAGGCCATGTCCTCCTTGGGACCTCAGAGGCTCACACACCAGCAACAGTGCTGCGATTCCTCCTCACCGCTGCCCCTCAGTGCAGCCTGGTGGCCTGCTGGACAATTTGGCGAAGGCAGACCTGTAAGGGCCCATCACAAACTCCTGGGAACTCATTTCCGTAGCTGCTTTATTCACTAGACATTGTACCATGAGCAGGGAACCACAGCCATCAAGGGTTTCCCAAAAATGTGATTTTTTTTCCCCCCAAAATGTGATTTTTGATGACTTGTGATTTTTGCATAATAGTTCTTTTATATTTTTGTAGCACCATAAACTTAGCCAATCCCATAGTATTGATGTTTCACTTTCCAATTCTTCCCTAATGGTGATGATGATTTTTTTCTATTCAGTCAGTCAATAAATACTTGTTGTTCAGGATGTACTAAGTGCTGAGAACAATTTTCTCATCATCTGACTTGATTCAAGGGCAACATTTGGAGTATTGAGCAGAACTCCTAAAAACCTATGAGAATTGGTCAAAGTAGCAGGTAGAGGAAAATTTATAGCCTTAAATATATTTATTAAAAAGAAGTGTGTATGCTCAGTCATGTAAAATTCTTTGCAACTCCATGGACTGTAGCCTACCAGTCTCCTCTGTCCTTTGAATTTTCCAGGCGAGGATACTGGCGTGGGTTGCCATTTCCTACTCCAGGGGGTCTTCTGATACAGGGATTGAGCCCATGTCTCTTGTGTCTCCTGCACTGGCAGGTGGCTTTTTATCACTGTGCCACCTCAGAAGCCCCTGTTAATAAGAAGAAAAGATGAAAAGTTAATGAACTAAACATTTAACTCAGGAAGTTAGAAAAAGAGCAATAAAAGAAAAAGTAAAAGTTAATTAGCATAAAAGCAGAAAGTAATAAAGGAAACAAAATGAGAGCTGGTTCTTTGTTGTTGTTTTTTTTTTTTTTTTTTGAGAGCTGGTTCTTTGAAAAGACCAGGTAGTAGAAGGTCTAGGGACATGTGAAAACTGCAGATTCTTTAGTCAGGAGGCTTTCATGAATATTATTTCTCCCACCAAACTTCTGATAACAATAGCTTGGCAAAGTGTCAGTTCAGTTCAATCGTTCAGTCATTGCGACCCCATGAACCGCAGCATGCCAGGCCTCCCTGTCCATCACCAACTCCTGGAGTCCACCCAAACCCCTGTCCATCGAGTTGGTGATGCCATCCAACCATCTCATCCTCTGTCGTCCCCTTCTCCTCTTGCCCTCAATCTTTCCCAGCATCAGGGTCTTTTCAAATGAGTCAGCTCTTTGCATCAGGTGGCCAAAGTATTTGAGTTTCAGCTTCAACATCAGTCCTTCCAATGAACACGCAGGACTGACTTCTTTTAGGATGGACTGGTTGGATCTCCTTGCAGTCCAAGGGACTCTCAAGAGTCTTCTCCAACACCACAGTTCAAAAGCATCAATTCTTCGGCAGTCAGCTTTCTTTATTGTCCAACTCTCACATCCATACATGACTACTGGAAAAACCATAGCCTTGACTAGACGAACCTTTGTTGGCAAAGTAATGTCTCTGCTTTTTAATATGCTGTCTAGGTTGGTCATACCTCTCCTTCCAAGGAGCAAAGTGTATTAGCTATCTATTGTGGTGTAACAAATTAACCAAAACCTAGGGACCTAAAGTAAGAAACACATTTCTTATAGCTCCTGGGGTCAGGAAACCAGATAAGATTTAGCTGGGTGCCTTTTGGCTCAGGGTCTCTTACAAGGCTTCAGTCAAGGTATTGGCAACACCAGCCATCCCAAGGATCAAATGGGAGAAGATCCACTGCCAAGTTCACTCACTTGGGTATTGGTGGGGCTCAGGTCTTCATCACTGGTGGGCTGGAGACATCAGTTCCCTGGCACATGGGCTTCTCCATAGAACTGCTGATAACATGGCTCGTTTCTCCCAGAGCTAGTGGGGAGAGAGAGAGAGAGAGAGAGCACAATCTTTTTGTAACCTTTCTTTTTGTAAGTAGGCTTTTTGTAACCTAATCTCCTAACGTTCTGTTTTAGAATTCTATATGCTATTAGTTAGAATTGAGTCACTGGGTCCAGCCACAGTCAAGGGGAGCCAATTATACACGAGTATGAATACCAGGAGTAGGGATCACTGGGGATCATCAAAGAAGCTGCCACCACACAAAGGTTTTAAGACCATATGCCTCCTGGAAGTCAAATATTCTTTTTGCTAAGTGACTGCCTTGGCAGTCATCTGAGCAATGGATTAGTAGAAAAGGCAAGTTCTGCTATGTATCGGTTGTGTGAGACCTGTCCCTATCTGAAAAATGGGGTCATAATAAAGATTACTTTCAGAATTTATTGAGTTTATTGTGATGAGGGGTGGGTATAAAATACCCTTCAGAAGTTAGGCATTATTAAGAGAACACTGTTGGAGATTCAAGTGTCTGTGATTTTTTTTCTCCTTCTTATAGTATTTTAAAAATCTTTCATTGATGTAAAACATACACACAGAAAAACTTCTCCAGGCCAGAATACTAGAGTGGGTAGCCTTTCCCTTCTCCAGGGGAACTTCCCAACCCAGGGATTGAACCCAGATCTCCCACATTGCAAGCAGATTCTTTTCCAGCTGAGCTACAAGGGAAGCCCAAGAATACTGGAGTGGGTAGCTGATCATTTCTTCTCCAGTGGATCGTCCCGACCCAGGAATCGAACCTGGGTCTCCTACATTGCAAGAGGATTCTTTACCAACGAGCTATCAGCGAAGCCCACAGAAAAGTGCACAATTCATAAATGTGGTCATGATCACCTGTGTTTAAACGTTCTTCTAAACCAAGTGAGCTTTTAAGTTCTTTTTACTTTGTGCACTTTCCAAAACCTTCCACAGTGAGCTAGAATTACTACTATCGTCATAAAAATGTCACCTCTGTAAGGTGTAGTTTCTGTTGATTAGAGAGTTTATAAAGCACTTGCAAAATCCTTATCTTGCTTGAGTTTTATAATGGCCACAGGAAAAAAATCAAGAAAGGATCAAGGATCAACTTCCTTGTGGGTAAAATGAGGAAATCACTCTCCTCTTGGGGTGGGGATGGGGGAGGGAAGGGAACTGAAGGCGGTGTTTTCTGTGAGTGCTGGGCAGTGAGCCACCTGTCCGCTCCTGGCACAGAAAGGCCTTCAGTAGGCTGGTCCCCCAGCACCCCACCCAGAGTGGCCACCATCAGCTCTAATGGAAAACCCTTCAGCTCGCCAAACCAAGGCTCTAGAAAAATTCTACTTCTGGGAATCTGCCTTAAATAAGTTCTCACAATGCTGCCAAACTTTATGTGCAAATAATTGAATGCGGCAGCATTTCTAATAACAGACACTTAGAATTAATGTAAGTGTTCAGCAGAAGGAAATTAGTTGAATAAATTAAGTCATTGATAGGCAGACTATTTCACTGCCATTAAGATATCATTCTGAAATATAGATTTATGGGCTTTGGAGTTTACCAGATGAAGCAGAATCAACAATTGAGTAAGACAGAGGGGCGTCCATGATATAAATCCATTGAAAACCACATGGAAGGAAATGTGCCAATAAAGTAAGCAGATTCTATGCTGGAGCTGGGATTATGAGTGATTCTTTTCTTTTTTTTTAACAGACATTTTAGGTGGTGTATTTGCAACATAACTTTTTAATTCATTCGTTAATTTGGCAGGGGGCTGTTGTGCTGGGTCTTCATTGCTGCACAGGCTTTTCTCTAGTAGTGGCGAGCGGGGGATACTCTCAAGTTGCAGTGCATGGGTTTCTCATCATCGTGGCTTTTCTTGTTGTGGAGCACCGGCTCTAGGGTGCGAGGGCTTCAGTAGTTGGGTTTTAGAGCACAGGCTTAACAGTTGTGGCCTACGGGCTTAGTTGCTCAGCAGCCTGTGGGATCTTCCCAGACCAGGGATCGAACATGCATCTCCTGCTTTGGCAGGTGGATTCTTTACCACTGAGCCACCAAGGAAGCCCTTGTTTTTCTTTTCATTTAATAGCTCCCATTGCATACGGTAACAATGTCAATTATATAAGTAGTAGAAGTAAAGAGCAAAGCACTGAAATTCCATTACCCGCTGCACACACCCCCAGCCCTCCCACTTCCTTCTTTACTTAGTTTGTTGTAGATGTTTCTAGATGTTTTCTTTAAATCCACCATGGATTGCTTTTAAAACTCCCATGTACAAAAAAAAAAATTTTAACCTCCCCCCAAAAACCTTAAGTGTACAATCAGAAAAAGCATGGAGTGAGGAGAGAAAACAAGATTCTCAAAATGAATCTGGACATCATAGAAGCATAGAGGTTTTTACAAAGCAAGCCTCTCTGTTTGAGGATGAGAAAGTGGGGCTCAGGGTTGTTGGGTGGCCTGCCACGCTCACACGGTTTGTGCCAGCTCCTGGTGCCCAGTCCAGCGCTGCTTCCGGGGTCACATCCGCTAGGGCTCAGGAAGGAGGAGGGAGGCTGAGCTGGAGAGAGGCCAGGAGGATGCTCTGGGCTGGGCAGGCTGGGCTGGGGTGAGAGCCTTCTCCCTGTTTGTTCTGGGTACCAGGAGATGCCGGTAGAGAAACATCCTGGCAGGAAGGACCAAAGTCCTCATTTATGGCCTAAGGGGAGTTAATGTGTAATATTCTAGGATATAAGCTGGACTGCAAGGTGAGACCCTGAGCCCAGACCTCCAGGAGCTACCCAGAGCTGCTGTTTGGAGCTGCTACCATGTCGGTGAGAACACCGGCTCCCCACTGCCCTCCTCCGTCACTCCGAATCTTTACCTGAGTGGGGGTGGGGTGGATGCTGGAGAAAAGGCATCGCTGCCCCTCCAGCCTCAGTTTCCTTATCTGCGTAGGGAGGAAGTTGGACAGATCACCTCCACTGTCCTTTAGCATAGAGGTTCTCTGTTCCCTCCACCACCATTCTGAGTCTGTTTCTTTCCCCCTCCAGCCTGGGTTTCTCATTAGTAATATATTTATCTATTTTTTGCCTATCTCTCTCAGTTAGGGATCTTATTTCCCCAACCAGGGACCAAACCTGGGCTCACTGCAGTGGAAGCACAGGAGTCCTAATCTCTGGACAGCCAGGGAATTCCCTCTTATCAATAACATTAATCGCGGCAACAATGATAACTACTAACACCTACTGAGCTTTAAAAGATGAAGTTGAGACTGGAAGGTTAACTTTCCCCAGATCAAAATCTGTAAATTGCAGGGGGGTCAAGTGGATCTTCTTCAAGGTCTCTCTCCGATTCTCTGATTCCAAACTCTGCTCTGCGGTAGCCTGCTATGTGGTCTTGGAGAAATCGCTGCTCTTCTCTGAGCCTCAGTCTCCTGTATTTGGAGAACTGGGTCACAGATGGCATCTTCTGAGGCTGGTGTGTTGCTTTCCTGGGGCTGCCGTAACAAATTTATTCTCTCAGTTTTGGAGGCTTGAGGTCTGAAATCCAGGTGTTGGTGGGAACTTGCCCTCTCTGAAGGCTCTAGAGGAGGGTTCTTTCGTGTCCTTTCCAGCTTCTATTTGTTGCTGGCAATCTGTGGTATTCCTGGGCTTGCAGCTGTCTCCCTCCAACCCCTGCCTCTCTCTTCACACAGCTTCTCTGCGTGTCTGTGTTTCTGGGTCCAAATTTCTTCTTCTTCTAAGGATGTCAGTCATATGGGGTTTGGGGCCCACCCTGAACCACTATGACCTCATCTCAATTTGGTCCTGTTTCCAAATAGGTCCCATTCACAGGCTCCAGGTGGGCATACTTTACTGGGAGAGTCAGCACAGGTGGGATGTGGGCGTGGATGTGACTAGAGGGTCCAGGTGTGTGGATGGCATGGTGCCCTCCCCACCCTCTGCCTCTCAGGGAGGGCCTTTGTGCCCAACTACTTTCCCTACATTCTCCTTCCCCTGCTCTCCTCACCCCTCCCCTTTCTTTCCTCCTTCTTCAGAGACCTTCCCTGGTGGACCAGGGATTAAGACTCTGCGCTGCCAATGCAGGGGGCACAGGTTCAAACCCTGGTCAGGGAACTAAGATCCTACATGCCATGGGGTGAGGCCAAAATATAAAAAAAAAAGAAAAAATGGGGGAAGTGAGGTCCAGAAAGGGGCACAGTTGGCCCCTGCTAACTCGGTTAGTCACCTGACCACTGACACCTGCCTCCACCCCAGCTTTGCCTCCCCGTCTCTCTTTGTGCTCCAGACTTTATGGAGGGGGTCAGGTTACTAGGCCCACCGCCTCCCACGAGCATCCCTGTTTGCCCAGATGGACCCCCAAACCTGGCCTTCCCCTCGCCCCTGCCCTGCAGTAGCCCTAGGGGCTTGGATTCTTCTGTTTGAGCCAGGCAGCCTCCAGGAGCTATGGGGGGTGGGGTGGTGAGGGTGCTTCTCCCCACCCCAATCTCACCCTGACCATCCCAGGGAGGAGACCAGAGACTCCTCATGACGTCTGGTGGGGACTCTGCGTGCTGCAGGGCGCACACCGTGAAGGGCTGCTTGTTGGCAGGACACCCACGCTCCTCTGGGAGGGACGGAATAACCTCTCCTAGGGGGACTGCTGTCTGTCCTTCTGGGAGAGGCTGAAGGAGGATTTGAACCCAGTTTGGCTGGTGATCCACGTGTTACATTAAGCATTCATCTGAGGGGTTAGGCCTCTGAGTGCCACCTTCTCAAAGGCAGTGAAATTCCTCTTACCCCGGGGACATCTGGGGTTCCCTGGTGGGTCAGACGGTAAAGAATCTGCCTGTCATACAGGTAGACCTGGGTTTGATCCCTGGGTTGAGATCCCCTGGAGGAGGAAACGGCAGCCCACTCCAGTATTCTTGGCTGGAGAACCCCATGGACAGAGGAGCCAAGTGGGCTACAGTCCATAGGATTGCAAAGAGTCAGACAGGAGTGAGTGACTAACACGCAGAGGACATCTGGAGACAGTTTTGGCTGTCACCACTTTGGGGGAGGGTGCTCCTGGCATCCGGTGGTTAGAGACCCAGCCTGCGGCTCCACCTCCTACACACACAGGACAACCCCCCAATAAAGAACAATCCAGTGGGAAAGTTCAGGGCGCCGAACCTGGAAAACCCTGCTCTGAAGCATCGTAGGGTCCGATGTGCCGTGATGCTCCACCCTCCTGGGCTTGGCAAGGCCTCTTTCAGGCCTTCCTTTTATTTATTTTAGTTTTGGCCATGGCCTGTGGCAGGCGGGATCTTAGTTCCCTGACCAGGGATGGACACTGTGCCCCTGCATGGAAGCACAGAGTCTTAACCACTGGACGACCAGGGATGTCCCCAGGCCTCCTTTTAAAATGTACTGACTCCGGGGGAGGCCTTCTCTGGTGGCTCAGTCAGTAAAGAATCCACCTGTAATGCAGGAGAAGCAAGAGACCTGGGTTTGATCCTCCAGGGAGGATCCCCTGGAGAAGGAAATGGCAACCCACTCCAGTATTCCTGCCTGGAGAATCCCATGGACAGAGGAGCCTGGCAGGCTGTACAGTCCATGGGGTCACAAGAGTCAGACACGACTTAGCGACTAAACCACCACCACCAAGAGAACTGGGCAACTCGACACCCGTGTAGGAACCCGAAGACTGTTTTCCCTCTTGGCGGAAAGGAGGCAGCTGCCAGCAGGGGAGTCCTAATCTACCCTCCACAGACACTGCCCTTGACTTTCAGCAAAGCACTCCAGTCCCACAAGTTGCTTCAAGGCTTCCCAAGTGAGCTCCCTCCAGAAAAAAAAAGAAAAATATCAGTGAACAGAAATCCTATAATATAAACGTATTTCCCCAGTAAGTGTTCTAAGTCTTTTGTGGCTGCCAAATCCTGTCTGGCCCAGCCTCACACCCTCCAATCATGGATAACTAGACATTTTCTCAGGGTTGGATCATGAGGTTTGAAAACCCAGCTTCGAGAGCCTCCCTTCTAACCAGAATATAGAAATACAGGCGCTGCCCAGGTCCTATGGGAAAATAGGAAGCAGAAGGATACCATAGTAGCGATAAGTAAGCCTAATGACCACAGTCCCTCGATTTGCTTTTAGTCTGTGCCAAGTCCTATTTGAGGGGCTTCACAAACGGGAGCTCTCGTCCTCTGAACCAGGGTGAAGAAGGTGCTGTTAACCTCAGGGCCTCTGATAGTATCTGTCACAAGGGTGCTTGGCAACTGGGTTTGAATGAATAAATCAAATTAGCCTGTTTTACAGATGAGGAGTGTGAGGTTTGGAGAGGGACTTTGATGGACATGTTCAGACATGTGACTGATGGAATTTTATAGATTCTCTGTTTTGGATGGGCCTAGACTTGCCTGTCTTACAGTCATTTTCTTTTTTAAAAACATTAAAAAAAGATTTGTCTACAATGCGTCTTAATGGCGGCACATGGGATCTTAGTTTCAGCACATGGGATCTTTTAGCTGGGGCTTTCGAACTCTTTGCAGCATGTGGGACTAGTTCCCTGACCAGGGATAGAACCTGGGCCCCCTGCATTGGGAATGTGGAGTCTTAGCCACTTGACCACTAGGGAAGTCCTGATACAGTCATTTTCTGTCAGTAAAATGACTCCCAAGTTTGTGCAAGAAATAAACGTACCCTGTTCATGGGATTTTGCTGAGGGCATTATGCCTTATCACTTGAACACATTTGGGAACAGTGAGGTTGGCAGGAGTTACTCTACCCATTTTATAGATGGGCAAACTGAGGTTCCCTCCCCCGAGCCCTATGTCTCCAGATCCAGCTATTCTTCAGGCTGGGGTGGATGAGAGTGAAGCAAAACAGCAAGAGGGGGCTCCAGAAATCTTTGATCTGAGCTCTCTGACTTTTTTGCTTCCTGGCTCCATGGCCTCATGTGGGGACAGGGAAAGGGGGACCTGGGGCCAGGTTGGGATGGGAGGATGCTGGCGAGTGGGCTTTACCAGCAGAAGAGTGTGGGGCACACGTGGGGCACACAAGTGATTGATTTGTGTGGGATGTTTCTCTGTTGGTGCAGGGGAAATTTGAGATTGTGAACATGGACATGAAGATGGGGGCAAGCCTGAAGATCAAGGGCAAGATCGCTGACAGTGCTAATGGGTGAGCCAGTGGGAGGGCAGGTGGGGCAGGACGGGGAGAGGGGGCCGGCCACAGACCTGGCATGGGCTGGGAAGGTGGGGGCAGGCAAGGCAGCCTTGTGAAATATTGGGACAATGAGAGTGACCTCTGGCCAGGGGGCCTCTTGTACATTCTTGCTCCTCTCACACCCCTCCCTCACCCTTGCTGGCCCCATTTGCGCTGCTTTCACATCTGAGGCCAGGTTTGGGGACCTGCAGAAGTCACATCGGACGCCATGTGCTCAATTCCTTGGCCCCAACAGACACGGAAGCAGCAAGTGAGAAATCCCTGAAGCGTTGCCCAGTCCTCCGTGAGTCAGATGCCTCTACTGAAGGCCCCAACCCCCTGGGGACACTACCCTCTTGATACTGCTGAAGGACCAGGGACTGGCCTTTCACATGTATTAAACCAGGGATAGCTCAGTTGGTAAAGAATCCACCTGCAAAAAAAAAAAAAGAATTTACCTGCGATGCAGGAGACCAGGGTTCAATCCCTGGGTCAGGAACATCCCCTGAAGAAGGAAATGGCAACCCACTCCAGTATTCTTGACCAGGGAGCCTAGCCGGCTACAGTCCATGGTGTCGCAAAAGTCAGACTTAGCGACTACAAAACCACCACCAAACCAGGGGCACCCACCAGGGGGCGCCTAGTGGCCTGGTGTGCATCCTCTCCATCAGAATAGGAGACCTTTCTCACCTCAGGGGTTACAGGTCAGCGTTAGGCTGTCCTGTGTGCAGGACAAGGGTCAGCATTTCTTGAAACTGATCTCAATCAGGTTTTGACTGGGGAGGGGCAGGCAGAAGCATCAGGTAGGAGCCAAAAGAAAAATCACCTCTTTCTCCTACTTGGGTCCCTCAAGGTTGCAGAAATGTGGGATACCTCTGGCCTGAGTCCTCCCAATGGAGACACCCCATGACTCAGAAAGTCCCACTCTCAGGGACCATGAAGGTCTAACCAAGGCCCCCGTCGTGATCTTTCTAAAAGATCACACAGCTCCTAATTGCATACCTCTAATGACAGGGAGCTCACCACCTCAGGCATACAACTATTTTTGGCCAAACTTAATGGGTCTTCAGAAATAGTTAAGAACAGCAGTTTTTTTTCCAAGGATAGCCACCTTCATCTCCTGAAATGTCACTATTAGTTAACTCCTTGTCAGGAGCTTTGGTCTGTGTTCTAAATGGAATGTGATACTCCAGTGCCAGGTCCGATCAAATTGTTACCTCCCTTGTTTTAAGGCACAAACCTCAATTAACACCACCTTTGGTTATTCTACCAACTTTATGGTCAAGACGCCGCCACCCAAGCTTTTATACCCAGGGCTGGCCCCTTATTCTTACTTCTTCTCTGGCAGCTTTGTGATTAATTTGGGCCAGGGGACAGATAAACTGAACCTGCATTTCAACCCACGCTTTGGTGAATCCACCATCGTCTGCAACTCACGGGATGGCAACAGCTGGGGGGCGGAGCAACGGGACAGTCACATGTGCTTCAGCCCAGGGTCAGAAGTCAAGGTGAGGTCAAAGGGAAAAGGGGCCTGAAAACAGATCTCAAGGGGGGAGCACAGCTGGTGGGGGCACTCTGACCTAGACATGTGCTGGGACTGTTTGAGCCACCGGCCCATTTCCAGGGTGCCTCCTGCCTCCCTGACGCCCTCCCTCCCACCGCAGCTCATCGTGACCTTCGAGAACAATGAATTCAAGGTGAAGCTGCCAGATGGACACCAGTTGACCTTTCCCAACAGGCTGGGCCACAGCCACCTGAGCTACCTGGGTGTGCAGAACTTCATCGTCTCCTCCTTCAAGCTAGAGTGAGGGCAGCACCTCACCAGAATGCAAGACACCACCCCTGCAAGCAGATTCCTGACCCAGAGCTGTCTCCTCATGTGGAATCAGTGACCCTTGCGACCCATCTGCTCTTTCTAATCCTCCGCCCTCATCCCCCAACAAAAGAATCCACCTTTATAGTCTTTCCAACTGTGGTGTTTTCCACTATCTTAATGCTCCTAGCGTCCCCTTGATATGGACGAAGAAACTGAGGCTGCCCAGTGGGGGATGAGCTCCAAACACCTCTAAGCCACTGGTCCTGCCTGCTGATCCCCTTTTGTCACCAGGATAAGTGCCAAGTTGCTCTGTGGGATTACAGTTCCAGGCACCTGGGCCAGGGGCTGTTCCCGGAACTGCAGATAAGGGCTCCCACCTGGGCTTCTTATCGCAGGGCTATTCATTCCAGTCTGGTTACTCATTACCCCCTGCCTTGGTCCCTCCCCTCATTGGGGGCCCTGGTTGGGTGGGGGGGGGGGAGTCCTTGGCTTTCCAAACCCAGTGCTAAAGGTACTCGAGCAGGTGGCACATACACTGTCATCCCAGGTCCTCAAGCATCTCGCGGGACACCTTTAATCAAAAAAAGCCTTTTTAATCAGGACCCAGAGGCAGGTCTGGGGTGCACAGGAAGGTGGGACCCTCCCCCCTCCCAGTGAGGTCACACCTGACTTTTCTGAGGCTTTTGGGACATGGGGTTGGTGGTGGGAATGTTGCGGAGGCAGCCTTGGGGGCTCTCAGGCAGGAGGGACCCTGCTGGGGGCAACTCCAGGATGAGCTGGGGCCGAGGGTCCCTTTGGGAGAGAAGACAAAGACTCTATGTGGCAGGCTCCCCACCCCCACCCAGCAAGGGCAGCTTTCCCAACACAAAGGCTGCACTGTGAGGCTGGGCCTTCCAGCGGGTTGGGGGCCTGGGGCGGAAGGTGGGCCCAGGGAATGGCTACTGGGCCCGGAGGTCCGGTGTGGCAGTGGAGGGAGGCAGGAGTGGTTGAGCAGAGCCCAGGGGAACACCCAGGTCTCAGAACAAGCCTGGTCTCCCCTGGCCTCCCTCCCATGTCTGTCCAGCAGAGGTGTGGAGGGGTCTGTCATTGGCAAGACCCAGCCGCCAGGGCCTGGGGCTGCACCGGGGCTCCTCGCTGGCGGTGCCCGGAGGCTGGCCAGGGTTCTCAGCCCGTGCCCAGCCGATCACACCTTGACCTCGTCGTCCTCCTCAGCATCAGCAAACTCGAAGGTGTTGGCCTGCACTGTGCTGGGCACGGGGGTCCTGCTGCCTGCCTGGGATGCCCCCCACTCTTCGTCCAGGCTCCCCCAGGAGGCCCGAACCTGGGACAATGCCCCCACCCTCTCGCCCCGAGCATCCACGTCAGTGTAGTGGCGGCGGCTTTGGCTGCCACCCGAGACAGCTCCCCAGTGCCTGCCGGGGCCCTCGCCAGCAGGCGCACGGGGGCCCTCTCCCACCGCGCTGGCCCTCGCCTCGGCCACTGGGCCCAACCTGGTGGTTACCCCATTGGGGCAGCGTCCACGAGGTGAGGGGCTTGAGGCAGGGGCCAGGGGGTTTGCAACAGAGGCTGGGGGACTTGCAGCAGGAGCCGGGGCTGGGGTCTCCGCTGCAGAGCCTTCTGAGAGGCTCATGGCCCCCAGGAGCTCAGTGAGGAGGGAGGGCCCAAGGTCGAGGTCCAGGCGGAAGGACAGGAGGGAGTCAGAGCGCCGAAGCTCAGGCTCAGTGGGGAAGGAGCTATCACGGTCTCGGTCACGAGGCTTTTCTGGGCGAGGCAGGCGGGAGATGGTGCAGAACCCGGAGTCCACTCCTAGAGGAGAAATAGGGACCAGGGTCAGAGCTGGGGGCCCTAACCAGGAATTGTGGAAGGCAGAGCCAGGACCAACACCTGCTTGCTATGTGGCCTTAGCAAGCCACCCCCCGATCTGACTGCAGCTTCCTCCATCTTTCCAGTACAGTGAACCCCATAGTCTCTTGTGTGATCTTCCTGTCAACCCTGGAAATTGACATAATCCTCATCCCATTTCGCAGATGAAGAAAGTGAGGCTCAGTTTGGGACGAGGGGAAAGGCTCGCCCAGGGCCACAAAGTCTGAAGGGCTGGAGCTGAGCCTGGAGCTCAAACCTCCTGACTCCCAGGCCCAACACTGAACTTGAATGACCCCTGGTCCCCTGCCATGAACCCACAGTGCATGCACTGGTTTGTGGGCACAGGATAGAACCAGCAACCAGTTTGATGACATAGAAATCAAGACCCAAAGGACAGGCAAACGCCCTCTAAACGCCCTCTGTCCCTGACCCTGGCTCCAGGACTGCCAGGCCTGATACAGCGGTGGGACCACGGACCAGCCCTCAGTGGGATTCTGAGCATCACCCCTGGACAGAGAGCACCAGAGGGGCTGGGCAAAGCTGCAGGGCAGGGAATGGTCACCAGGTGGCAGCGGGGGCCCCAGTTCTCAAGTGAGCTGTCCAGGAGCAGCCCAGGTGACACCCACCCCTCCCCATGCTGGCAGGAAGGGCCTCTGGCTTCTGTCCATGTGAGTGATTTTCCAAATTTGTCAAGTTATAGGAACCTCTGTTCAAATAACAACAGAGCATCAGCTCCCGTGTCCTGAGCACCTACTGTGTGCGAGATTCTGGGCCACAATCGAATATGTGTCATTTCACTCAATCTTAGCAGTGACCCTAAGGGCCCATTATATAGGCCAGGACTTGACTTCACAGAGGTCAGTTTGCTCACTGAGAATCAGGCAGAACCAGGATTTGAATCCAGGGCCCTGGCTCTCCACCTCTCCACTGTACTGTTGTGACACAAGGGAGCTGCTTCCATTGAAGCAGGCAAGGGAGAGGGGTAGGAGGGTGGTAGGCTGGCTTAGCCAAGGGCCCAGAGAAGGGGAGGCAGCTTAGGGGCAGGCAGAACTCAAACCCCACCTCCTCACCTCTCAACCTCAGTGTTTTGGGGAGTGAACTGGTTCCCGCCCTGTGACCCGCCCTCGCCATCCAAGATTTGGGGTTTGGGTCTGACTTGCATGGAGACCAAACTACTGCGGGGAAAAGAGCTCACTTGGAGGGTTGGCTGAACCATCAAACCCGCTGCACCTCAGCCCCTGAAAAATGAGCAGACAGCCCAGGCCCTCACCGTAAGCAGAGTGGCCGTCCGTGGAGCTGCCAGGGCTGCGGTCAAAGCTGAGCTTGCCTACCACGAGGCTGTCATAGGCCGCCTGGTTGAGCTGAGGCAGGGAGATGGCATTCTTGATGATGGGGGAGATGGCTGGTGGAGCAGGTGAGGGTGCGGGCGGAGAAGCCATCCTCCGGGGTGGGGCCCCCACCCTCCGCACCAGCTGCAGCTTCTTGGCCAGGAAGCCCCGGGGTGAGCGGTGGGTGCTCCCTGAGCCGCCACCATGGTTGCTGAGGAAGGAGGTGTCACCGAAGACGTCCCCGCCGCGGCCCACGTGCATGGTGTGGCGGAAATCCCCTAGTGGGGGGCTGATCATGTCTGCAGTCAGCCGCTTCTTCCCCTGCGAGTTGGACACCCAGCCCACGGGCGAGAGCTTGCCCAGGTTCATGGCCGGGGCTCCTCCGGCCCCCTGGGGGCCCGGCATCGGCTCTGTCTGTTCACAGCTGCTGGTCCATGCCCACCGGGGCCTGGGGAGGGCGCTGGGCTCGGTGAAGGGTCCACTTCTCAGCTCCCTCCTTCTTGGTGGGAGGGGGTGGACGGAGGCTGCCCCTTTGTGCTAAGGTGCTGCCCTCACATGCTGAGGCTGTGGGGGGTCCATGGCTTGTCTGCCCCGAGGCCTGGGTCCCAGTCCCGTGGGAGGAGCTGCAGATGTTCTGGCCAAGGACGTAGATGGCACCAAATGTGCCTCAGATGTGGATAGTCCTTCTCCTGCCCAGGAGTGGAGACCTAAGAGAAAGAAGGTAGTGGAGGGCCTGGGGGCATCTTGGTCCAAATAATAACAGCTAAAGAGAATACATATGAGGACCATGGAGAAAATGCTGAACAGACCCACAGAGAAGGGCACATGGCATGATTCCACATCCAGGAAATTTAAGAGCAGGTGAAACAAAATCCCATGGACAGAAGAGCCTGGCAGGCTACAGTCCATGGGGTCGGACAGGACTTAGCAACTAATAACAACAAAACAAAACAACAGTGATAGAAATCAGAATTGTGATTGCCTTTGAACAGATATAGACTGGGAGGGGGCACAAAAAATTCATGGAGCTGTACGCTTCTTCAACTGTATACTGGTTAAAACCTATGAATGGTCATTATATGGTCCCCATTGATGAAGCACCTACTGAGTGCCAATGGCTTATATTCATCACTCATTAAACCTTGAGGGAGGCACTATAGCCTTCAGAAGAGACACTGAAGCCCAAAGAAATGAAGGGATTTGCCTGAGGCTACACAGTAGGCAATGGTGAAGCAGAGCCTCCAACCCCAGAGCCCTTGAGTCCCGAGCTACACTGCCTCCTGCTGGTGGGTGGAGTTAAATCACCTCCCTTCTTGGTGGGTTAAACTGTCTTCCCCTCAGAGAGGCTAGGAGGTGACAGGCAAAGGCTTTATGAACCGCTGTGTAACCAGCAGAACCCTTCGCTTTCTGAATGCTTCCTGGAAAAAGGATCCTGTGGTCAAAAGTGGTTTTTCCAGCTGCTTATTACATGTCTGAGCACATTCAAGGCTCTGAGAAGGCCCGCAGGAAGAACATTATATTGTTTTCAAATTGATATCAAGGCCTTGTTACCAGGGAACAAGTTTTGGAAAAAGCTCAGCTGGAGCCAAAAGCTGTTCTTTGCCTACTCCCTGCTGTCCGGATCTCTCCCCGACCCTCCTCCCCCAATCCCAAACTTCTCTAAGCTTCCCTTGGTTTGACACCACCCCGCCTACTACCCCAGGAGTATACAGTGGAGGTCACCTATGAACCTATGGCCCCATATTTGATTTTCCTGTGGCCCGGAGAGGCCAAGCTTCTTCAAGGTCATGTCAAGAGAACGAGTAGAGATGTCATTTCAGAGCCTCTGACTCACTTGGCTTTTAGTGGCCCGTGGAGCCCTGTCTTGTCTCTCCAGATCGCATCACACTCTAAGGGCGGGGCCTGGATTTTCCTGCCTCCCTCCCTCCAGCGCTCAGCTTGAGCTCTGCACACGGCCAAGTGC